GACACTGGAATGGAACCGCTCAAGGCTCAAGGTGGACAGTAGAGCAAGTAAATCGTGGGAATTTAAATTTCCCGCCCTAAGAATCCAAAGATTATCTTCTTATCGGGCAGACCAGGCTGAGTCTATCAACTTTGCCAGGGATGTGGTTTTAAAATGAGGAGACCTTGTTTCCACGGGACGTTTCATGGGATTAGTCCCTGGGAAAAATCTCACTTGCGAACTTTGGAAAATTATTGAGTAAGTCAATACCATGGCATACATACTCAATGGGACTCTAGTCAATACCAATCGCAGTAGGTACCAAGCAGAGTCCTTGTGGGATCCTAAAAAACTCAGACAGAGAGAAGGTGAAGAAATCTTGTTGGTTTTTGTCAGCGGAGAAATAGCCCACATGTTTCCTTCCTGTGATTCGAACTTTGGGACAGATCCCATAAAACGTCCCGTGCTGGAGACAACGCGTAAGACTCGGAACCATCTCCCCCACCACCACCGTACCTCTATCAAGTGCTCGAAAATGAAGTAAGTATAGTTATGTAGGACGGATTTTCTCATGCCTCTCTTAAAGGTATATCAGTAATCACCTCACCCAAGAAAATGGTCATTCTGACATTCATACGCCAAAGGCTAATGACAGTGTAGAGAAAGTAACAGGTAGATACTGATACAAGTTACAAGTAAATTTTGAAATACAAAATTTTTATAAATTTTGGGGTCATTCCCACCCTATAATTCATTGACTTAAGAGGTGAAATGAATTTGAAAAAGCAAGGAATTTATTTGTCTTCTCTCCCCCCTTTTTTCTTTTAATGGAAACATGACATAGATAAAAGTAGGTAGGCACTATGTACCTAAGTGCATCTAATTCCGATTTTTCAAGCCTGTAAATTCGATGGATTAGTTGTTCCCATGCACACTTTTGCTTTTCCACTTTCCGCATAGGTACCTACTTAAGGGCCCATCATGCTTGAATCCGCCCTTGCCGCCTGCCTGTACCTTAAGACGTATTTTCCCTTCGAACGGTCAAAAGTGACACACAGCATTCGAATTAATAATATTTAGACCGACTCTTTCAATTGGAGGGGGAGCGTTAATTATGTAGGAACGTGGTTAACTGCATTGCAACGTTGTAGAGTTTCATTCGAAAATTTGTTTGTCCACTCAAGAAGCGGTTATAAATTTTCTGTTGCAATTCTTGGTGACATTCTTTGTGACTTGACCAATATTCCTTCCGTGGAACTTCGAACCGTTGCGATATAACACAAATACCTAATGGGAATCTCGATCCTTTAAAGTAAGTATAACCTTCCAAACACAATAATTTAATTCTCGCATCCTTGCACCCTTTCTCCTCAAAAGCATCATACCTATTTCTTGTTCACTAATTTTGAGAAAATAGGCTCCTTTTTTTTTAACAATCTGCAGGAGGCCATAATTGTATATTCGGCCTTTGAAAGTTTTGCCCATTAGGTATCCTCTCAGAACGCGTCACCATCCGATTTACTAATTTTAAGGGAACTGGTTGCTTCTTCGAAGCAAAATGTTATATTGAAAGTAGGCAACCGCACATGTCCCATGCCGCATCCGTTCCCCGCGGAAGGGACTCACTCCGTTTACTACTTTTAAGGTAACTGGTTTCTTCTTCTGACGCACCGTGTTTTCTTTCATCAAACAAGCTGTTGGGTTATTAAAAGGCAACAGCGACTAGCTAATTGTATCATGCCCCACTGAAAGGTGTTCGCCCCGTTTACTATTTCTGAGGAAACCGTTTTCTTCTTTCGACACAGCGTGTTTTCTTCTACCAAGCAAGCTGTTGAGTTAAAAGAAGGCAACAGCGTCTGGCTTATTGCATCCTCCCCCGCTGAGGGCGTTCGCCCCGTTTACTATTTCTGAGGAAACCGTTTTCTTCTTTCGACACAGCGTGTTTTCTTCTACCAAGCAAGCTGTTGGGTTAAAAAAAGGCAACAGCGTCTGGCTTATTGCATCCTCCCCCGCTGAGGGCGTTCGCCCCGTTTACTATTTCTGAGGAAACCGTTTTCTTCTTTCGACACAGCGTGTTTTCTTGTACCAAGCAAGCTGTTGGGTTAAAAAAAGGCAACAGCGTCTGGCTTATTGCATCCTCCCCCGCTGAGGGCGTTCGCCCCGTTTACTAATTTTGAGGAAACCGGTTTCTTCTTTCAACGCAACGTGTTTTACTGTACCAAGCAAGCTGTTGAATTGTAAAAAATCAACGGGCGTATTGCTAATTGCATCCGGTCGCCTCGAAAGGAGTTAGCCCCGTTTACTAATTTTGAGGAAACCGGTTTCTTCTTTCGACACAACGTGTTTTCTTCTACCAAGCATGCTGTTGACTTAAAAAGAGGCAACGGCCGGACTCAGAAGGCGTTCACCCCGTTTACTAATTTTGAAGAAACTGGTTTCTTCATTCAAGCAAAAGTTGGCTCATTTTAAAACAACGTTTATTTTACTTAAGAAAACACGATTCGCTTGTCTCAAGCGAATCATGTTGTCTTGCATTAAGAAAATCGTTGGTTTCTTCCAAGTCAAACCCGGTTTGAAAAAAGTAAAAAATCCAAGTAGACGCGTTTACTTAAAATCAGGAAATCTTTTTTTTCCGTGTTGTAGAAGGGATTTCCAAAGTGCCGACCCCGAAAAATTGTCCGACCGATAATTA